TATATATATATAAAAATCATTCAGTAAAAAAAAAAAAAATAATAAAAGGATAGCTATGTTTGGAATGTTGTTAATACAAATTAAAATCTCTCGGTAACAACCATATCAAAATTTTACAGGGCAGGAAACAGAATGGGCAAGAGATAGCGAGGGCTCGTTTTGCCATTGCTGGGGATGATTTCACATTCTCATTCCGGGTGGCCGTCATCGGTGTGACAGACGTGTTATGTCTCCCTTGCAGCTTCCGGTGTGAAGGAAAGCAATCTGCTCAGCCAGCACACGCACACCCCCCGGCATCGGGGCTGGCCCGTGGCTCGGCGTCCTGTAGATGACTCAGACAAGCCACCGAACCCAGCACTCCTACTGCCGCGAGGTGTTTCGGCACCCAACACCCCAAATCCTGCAGGAAATGTTGGCAAAGAGACGTTGGAAAGCGGCGGACGCGGAGGTGGGAGATGGCAAGTCTCCAGGTCACCACCACAGCAAGGTGACCTTCGGAGAAGAATTGCACCAGACCACGGGAGAGGAAAACCAAGCAGGTGTCTCTCCATCACACAGCATCTCCGGCGGACTCTGGGTTTTTCTAGAAGATCAATTTTTCTCACCTAACATGCCCAGCCAGCTTCTCCTAGGGCCTTGCAAAGGGTGAAACCACACATTCCTGCCAAAATCAGCCCAGCCAGGAGGACCACTGGGGTCCAAGCCACCTGCCACCCTTACAAGATTGCTCATCTCCCATATTTTTTAGGTGCACCCACATCAGAAAAAGAAAACCAGCTCTTCTGATCCCGACGGTTTCTGATCCATCTTAACATGAGAAGGAACTTCTTTACTTTGAGGGTAGTGGAGCACTGGAACAGGCTGCCCAGAGAGGTGGTGGAGTCTCCCACTCTGGAGACATTCAAAACCCGCCTGGACGCTGTCCTGTGTAACGTGCTGTAGGTGACCCTGCTCTGGCAGGAGGGGTGGACTAGATGATCTCCAGAGGTCCCTTCCAACCCTAACCATTCTGTGAATTCTGTGAATTCTGTGATCGCATCTGGATGGACACGGTCCCCAGAGCTGTGAGAGTGAGAGCACTGCGCCTAGGAAGGAGACCGCATCGCCACGAGAATAATGATCACGCTGTCAGAACAACTGCTGGGATTTCGGAGGTCGGGTGTTGCCCTCCTTGGGCTCGTGCTTCATGTGGAAACGGGGGAAAAAAAAAGCTAAAGTCGGAAAGCAAGGCCAAGCGCTGCACCGAAATGAGAGGAGGGCTGATGTCCTCGTCTTAAGGGGCACGAGGGTGGTCGGAGATGCCAGGCAGCTCTCCCGGTACCCAAACCCTCCTTGCCTGTGGTGAAGAACAGAAACTGGCCTCTTCGCATCTCACCTGCCTCCGGACACGGGATAATTAAATGACACTTCATCATCACCCACTCACTGGAGTATGACCTGACGGGTTTATAACCAGTTCGAAGGCGAAGAGGCAGAAAGCGGAGCGTTGGTGTGCGTTTAAACAGAGCAGAAGGATTCTCGTGGTGCTGTGGCTTTTAAAATTTGTTGCTATTTCAACGACAGCCATGTTCACGGTTCGGTTTCTACCCAAAGTTGAAGCATCTCCAGTTTGGTGCTGTAGGAGTAAATAAGAAGGGGAGCGATGTGAGCTCACCTCCCCTCTCTGAGCTATGGGAATTGCAGGGAGAAAAGACAAAATGAGGATTCTGAGGAATTAAAGGCAATGTTTTCCCAAGTATTTTCCTACCCAGCAGAACTTTAACATTTAGGTCTCTTTCTTAATTAGCCCAGTTATGTGGCCATGTAATTGCTTCCAGGAGCGGCTCCCGCCTCTCCTGCCTGGCCTAAATATCCCTCCTGGTATGAAGAAAACATTTATTTCAGGTCAAATTATTTTTATTTTGATTATGGTACCAGGTTTCAGGCCTATAAACACATGTGGTTACCAGCACAAGCGAAAAATTAACCGACACGCTGCCAGAGCGGGACGCTGACGCGACGCCCAACGCCCCGGGCTCGGTCCCCAGCTCTGCTGTTAGCGCCCAGGGACTCACGGCACGCCCCGTGCCTCAGTTTCCCCATCTGTAAAGCAAATGCTTTGAGGTCTGCTGAAAAGCCCAGCACGAAGACTTTGGTTCTGCTTTGCTTTGAATCACGGACCATTGCGCACAAGGCATTTCTACGCCGTAGAAAGCCAGATGAGAGGACACGTGCAGCCCCGCGGCCACCTTGCCATTATTTCAGCTCTTCATCCGAAATCACTGAACTTCCCAGTCTCGTTCCTAGTGAGGCATTAAAATGAGCCTGGGGGAATACCTAAATCCTGCAGGGTTTTTCTCCAGCATGCTTATCCCACCGTCTCCTGCTGCCCACGAGGAATTAGCTGGTTTTCACGGCACTCCCGTCCCGGGGAGGGCTCTGACCGTGTCCCACACCCCGAACGCCCGCCCCACCAAAGGCAAGAATGCTCACCATAACTTGCCTAATCCTGCTCGTCCCTCTGTGCCAGTCCTCCCACGCGGAGAGCAGCCTGCCAGAACTGCTTTTCATAACTGAAGAGCTACGAAAAACCCTGGCCCTTGCACAGCTCCGGGTTTCGCTCCAATCCCACTCTGCTACACCCCTGCCTGCCCCAAAGCCAGCAGCACATCCCTGCCTCGGGGATCCACTCTCTGCCATGGGTACCTGAACCCGGCTGCATTTCCTCCTTGGAAACCGAGGATGCTCCACAGGCTCCTTGGGCTGCATCCCGGTTGAGGAATTCCTTGGTGATGGTGGTGTGCGGCCACCCAGCCTGGTCCGGTGGGCGAGGAGGAGATGGGGAGAAGGGGGTGCCCATCGCTCTCGCTGCCACCGGCACTGGGGGAGATGCTGCACCCAGGGAATCCCTTCCCCGCTCCGACGGGGCTTCAGGGTCCTTCTCTTATTGTATTGGGTTTTGCAGAGGATGAACCACCCCAACAACTATTTTTGCCTAAACTCGTGCTTGAGAGTACCGCAGGGTGCTCAGGCGGCGCTTTCTCAGTTTGGAAGGATTCTTCTGATGCGGAGGACAGCAGCCAGAGAAAATACAACTATTCCTTAAGGTTTTCCAAGAACAAAGACTGAACTGCTTTTGGACATACAAGTGATTAGATTCTTGTCATCCTTGGGTCACCTGGGACAAAGCTATGGCTATCCAAATTATAAACGTGCATCTGGGCTCAGCATCCACCAGAGGGAAAGGGAAGCTCCCGCTGACCCCGTCAGCATCTCCCCGGCCAATCCCTCTGTTTCCCAGCCGACAAATTTTCCCCCTTGGTCTGATGCGATGGAGAAGCTGGCTTTGCCCCACACAGCATCCTCGGAGGGCAGGGAAGGTCAGTGCTATGCCGGGAGCGCCGGTGCCACTGTCGGGCTTCGGTGCCCTGCAGGCAGGGCCAGCAGCTCATGGCTGCCCCAAAGATCCCACCTGCCAAAATATTTTGGTCAGATTTTCTATCTGATACAGTTGGAGTTTCTAAAACTTATTGGATAGGCTTAGCCTAACTGCCGAAGCGCTCAGCTGGTCCCGCTGGGATAATTAAATGTTAACTCTGTGGTTGTAACCCAGCAATTTCAGACACATCTACTGCAAGGGAAATGCACGTGTGTGTCTCACGTCTCTGGGTGAGGGTGTCCGTTCGCGTCCTTCAGGAGCCTCACTGGAGCCTCAAGGGAGCAGCTGAAGGGCAAGAGATGGTGGAAAACACTGACCCAGCCCAGCTGTGAGCTCTGCTTCAAGCCTCAAGGTCCCACTGTCTCCTCGTCATGTCCCCTGTCCCGCAGGTGGCCGGGATGCCAGGCTGGGCAGGGATCGAGGAGGGAGTTGAGGACTGCTCCCACCGCCGCGGCTTTGCGCCACCCATCAGATCTTTTCCTCCCAAAAAGCAGAAACCAGAGCTGGGACACTCTCATCCTTCCCTATCTATCACGTGAACCTTCTACATCAGCACAGAAAGCACCTGCGGGCACCCTTTCTTCTGCACCCTTCCCGGAGGCGGTGACCTCCTGCAGAGACCCCAGGCAGCACCAGGAGCGCTGTGAGGAGAGAAGCTCTGCACCTCCCTCCTGCCAAACAGCTACTGCTGCGCAGGATTTTTCTGATGCGGAGGACTTGGATTTGACTACCAAACACACTACTATTCAAATTTGCAATTCGACTACCAAACACATCTGCTCCGGTGACACACTGCTGCTTTTCGCTTCCTGGCTATTTCGTAACACCCAATGGTTCGGAGCAGTTTCCTGGCCGGATTTAAGGCTTTTCGGCTCCCTGAGGATGCTCGAGGAGGGTAACCTGCCAGATCTGACTGCGCCTTCATCCTCCTGAAGCCGGGTCTTAGGTGGGTTTGTGTCGGTCCTACTTTACCCATGTATTAGTCCCTGATACACTAATCCGACACACAAGCCCGACAGCCAGGTGCTGAGATTTGTTAGATCCTCCACCCATGCTGCGGCTACCACGTCCCCCACAAGGTCCTCGCTGTGGGGACATGGGATGGAGAGCCATCCAGCGTAGGAGCCAACGTGGGGACTCGGCAGTCGGGGTTGCTCTTGTTTAGACTCTGTTTTTCGCCAGGGCCAAGGCCAACCCAAAGGGGTGGGTTAAGAGGTGCAGGATGCGATCCCAGCCTGCAGTTCAGCTCCTCAGAGAAGGGACCGAGCCAAGCGCGCAGCCACGTCCTGCCTGCGAAGTCTTGCGCAGACCTCAGCATGGACCTGGAAGGGCTCAAGATGAGTTACAAACTGCTAAACTCCCAGCGGGCACCAAAGGAGCCAGCAAGGAGCATTGTGGGCATGCAAGGCTGGAAGAACAGCTACAAAAAGAGGCTTTCTGGGCCCCGGCACGAGCCTTTTATTCCCCAAAGTCTGCAGAGCACAGCACTGGCAGCAAAATCAGCTGGACGCGATGCCCCATCCACTGTGCTGGGGCAGCATCCCCACCAGCGTGGTCCATCTGGGGTATGCCCTACCTGCCACACCACCTCTGTGCCCTTCATTTGCAAAGGCCGGCAATTAAAGAGCAGAAAATCACAAAGAGCATTTGGTAAAAAAGGCAAAACATCGCTTTCTTGGCATTTGCAAAGAAAATACTTCTAATGAGGGATCAAAGCCTCGCGGCCTGCCATGGCGGCTACCTTGGGAAGATCGCTCCCCACTCCTGCGTGCTCCCTTTGGTGCCCCTGCGAGCTCGCTGAGCACAACGCCATGAGCAAAGAAGAGCAGATGACTTCTGCTCTGCCCTCCCAGCACTTCCGAAACGCTCATCTTACCACGGCGCAAGCGCTGCTCGGAGATGGTAACCATCGCGCAGGCTCTCAGAATAGCCAGGAGAATAAAAATAGTCCCATCCCTTTGATCTCATCCCTTTGTTCAGCAGTGAGCGCTCCAGCAGATGCAGCTGGGGCACACGTGCACTGATCCATCACACCGCGGCCTTGCAACTCATTTAACGCTTTGGTCCCATCCCAAAAGGTCTCCATCACCTCCACTTCCTCCTGAGCAGCGTGTCTGGGGGGATACGATGGGCACGTTCAGCCCTGCGAGACCATACCACTGGTCATGGCAAGCAGACACCCTAATGGGCAACCAAACCAAGGTGCTTGCTTGCCCGTGCACAACTGGCTCTGTGTATTGGGTGGGATTTTGTTACCTGTGCACCCACACAACCACACGTGCTATTAACACATTTCCACTCCAAATTGCCCAGACGCAACAAACCCCTGCGATACGCAAACATGACCCTCTGCACGGCTCCTCGCTAACCTCTGCAGGCACGCCTGCGTGTGCATGCAAACAGAAATGCAAGTTCTGCTTTGCATTTCCAAATACAGCCCCAGAATGCACCACCGGAGGAGAAAGTGTGGATGAGGAGGACTATTCTGGCCGCTGCTGGGCACGCAGAAAGAGGAGCAGCCCATTTCCCAGCCCCAGTGCCTGCGCTCAGGGACACATCATAGAATGGTTTGGGTTGGAAGGGACCTTTAAGTCCATCTAGTCCAACCCCCCTGCAATTAGCAGGAACATCTTCAACCAGATCAGGTTGCTCAGAGCCCCGTCCAACCCGACCTTGAATGGTTCCAGGGATGGGGCATCTCCCACCTCTCTGGGCAACCTGGGCCAGTGCCTCACCACCCTCAGCGTAAAAAATTTCTTCCTCCCCCCTCTTTGCCCTGGCTACTCTGCAGCCGTGGGCTTTCTTCCCGGTCACCCCATTTCCACAGCCCATCCATGACCTTCTCCCACGCCAGTGGGTTATTAACGGCGCCGCGAGGAAAGCCGCAGCCGTCGGCATGCGGTGGCAAAGGCAGTTTTCACACGCGGGTTTTAAAGCAAGGAACCACCTGGGAACAAGCAGTGAAGCCGCTTTCTGAGCGAGCTGGGGTGGACACGGCCATCGCTCCGCATTGCTCCCTGCGGGTCTGACACCGATTTGGGGACAGCCACCTTCGCCCCCTCCCCAAGGCAGCAGCTCCGTGCCTGCAGGCTCCAGGCAGGGGTGGGAAGGCAGGCGGGGAAGGAGCAGCCTTGCCATCCCCGCCACTGGTTTTGAGGCAATTTGGGTCTTTTCCAGGCTTTGGTTTGGCAGGAAACTCCCGCACGGGTTTGCGGGACTCCCCGCACCGCACGCAGAGGTGAAGCAACCAGCGGCTGCTTGCACGGAGAGAGTTAGGAAGGGGCAACTGTGCTATTCCAACCTGCAGCCAGTAAAACATAACAACACACCTAAGTTGTTTTTACTGCCTGTCCTGCTTATTAGCTAATAAAATAAGTTTAGCTTATTAAGCGTTGCTGGCATGGTTTATCAAAAGACGAGCGCAATGCCTCACGTTTTTCCCCTGCCATCACCCAAATATGTGATTCCCTCACCCTTTTTATCCTCTAAGCTCCTCTGGAGGAGGAAAAGCCATTCTCTTCCTCCCACACTGCTGCACCCCTTCAAACACCCGCGGCGCTGCCAAGCGTGAAACACCATAAAATAGCGTGCTGTTATATACTGCGTTCTTATAAGAGTGGAAAAACGACCAGACAGCGTTGGATGTCACCTGGCTGGGGAACGGCAAGGGGAGAAACCCCACCGCTGTTTCTCCATCCCACCTGAGGAATTGCTGCCAGCTGTTCCCCTGTGGACAACGAAATGGAGTGCGTGGGGACGTCACGAGCCGGGTGGACTTTGCCGGCCACGGCTCTACAAAGAGCATCAGGAAAATCAGGGCAGAGGCTGCCGACACGGTCACCTCCAGGATGAAACACAGCAGAAAGCGCAGAAGATGACCACATCGAACTGAAACCGTGGGGGAAGTTTTCTGCCCGGCAGAAGGTGACAGCCCACCCTGGGATCTTCAGACACCCCCATCATCTTCATCCTACACAGAGCTGGTGGTGTCGTTGTCTTTACAACTATAAATTACTGATGTGGGAAATGTCAAATCACAAAACTGTGGAAAAAGAAATTTTATGAGTGCAAAATGGAGCCGCTGCTCATACCATTCTCCGATGCAGCGTCTCACTTTGGCTCTCGCCAAAGTCTGCTCACTTGGTCTTGCCCGGAGAGGACTGGGGGGCAAAAGCCTCCCCGAGTCACACTTCAGATCTGTTATCTGGCTTTGCGCGGCGGATTGAAGAGGGAGGTTGCGCTCTGTGTTTGCAACTGAAAATGAAATGTGATAACATCTCCAGAATGGAAAATTACAGAGGCTAAGAGCAAGTAAAGCCCGTAGCGGTGTGAATTCGGCTCCTGACGGAGCCGGGGCTCTGTGCCTCGGGTGCTGCCTTCCCCGTGCCATGGCAGGCCCGGGGCTCCTCTCTCCTGAACTCAAAAATGTGGGGTTTAATGCATTCC